GACGATGTTGGCAGCTGACGGTCCAGGAAACTGCTCCAAGATGAGATTTTTGGCACTTCTGTACTCGTAGAGGAAGAGCAGCAGCGTGTACCAGACAATGCACTGCAGAACGACCGCTTGGACGACTAATTCAGCTGGCTTCTCTCCGTACATCGCGACTTCGAGAGGAATCCCCAATACCAGTGTGTTTGGGAGCGTTGACACCATGAACAAGGTAATGGCCCAGTCCAAGTCTTTACTCTTTGTGCCACTGGTGCTCCTGACTGACGAGCTGAACTTTTTGAGCCTAGACCAGGATGCGAGGACTGCGAGAACAATGAGCTTCTGGAGGACATCAGCGGCTACGAACCTGGGATTCATGTCGTATGGATTGTTGTGCGCTATGATTTGAAAGGAGAGCAGAGGTACTGCAAAGATTGCCACAAATCTATTTATCCCAGAGCACTGTGCAGGTGTGAGCAGCTTCCACCATCGAACGGAGCCATAAGCAAGGATCATTGCGACATAGAGTGGCACCACAGCCGACATCACCGTGTAAAACTCTTGCAACGTGATCATCTTCGAGAATTGGAGCTTTGATCCCAGGAGAATTGTCAGACGAAAGGAAGTTAGACGACCACGGAACCGCGAGAAGTTCTTGTTCTCCTCACCCGCATTTGAAGTGAGGACACACAAACTCACATACAGACACACACACACACACACACACACACACTTGCAATCGGTCTAGAAGAGAGGTAATAGTATTTGAAGGAGTAAGATACTTAATTTCTTTCCTTGCTTGCAGCGGGCCATAGAAAAATGCGACCTGACAGAGGTGGTGATGAGAGGAATATTTAAGTTATTTGAGAATGGCCTCAATCACCACATATCTTCTCTGCTGCTGCTGGCTACAACATGCAACTCTCCTTTGCGAGCTAACGATTTCTCTCCTTTCTCTCTCGCTTGATGGGGGCCTGGCAGCAGACTGCTACATTACAACGGTGTATTCTACCAACACCAAAGATTTTTGGCAACAGATCTTGGATGCATTCCATGTGATCGAAGCTGGTCCGTACAGAGCGCCATAGTTTATGGCACGAGTTTCTACGTAGAGTCGAGGAACTTCCCACTCTCTCAGGAGGTATTAAGCTGTCTTTGAAAATCTCTTTCGTTGTTCTTTGTTTTTACCAGGATCATGGTTTCTTACAAACTTATTCCGCAGTTAAGTCAATTCCTCCATGTGGACTTTGGAGTGCGCTTGGGTGCGAAAGACACACTGCACAGCTCCCCGTTGACGGACACGGCAACGAGCAGCTCGAGTTTAATAGCGGCGTCGCGTTCCCACTTTGTCAAACGTGGTAAGTTTCTTATTCGTCACGCTTGTGATCTTCCTTCCGAGCATTGCAAAATCTCCGTAAGTTTAATTTTTGTCACGCCGGTGCTTCCAGGTTGGTTCGGATGATAGGACAGTCACCTCCATGTGGGCGATCATTTGCGGAGCGAGCACCCAAGACAGAAAAACAATCGCGGCAACTTCACCATTAAACAAGTGAGTCGCAAAATCATTGCTTACGAGACAAACGAGTATAACTCGAGACAACCCCAACCTTGCATTTCAGCGTGAAACATCTGTCAAGCCTCGACCAACAGAAACAAGGAAAAGGAACGATCTCGCGTAAAAGATGGACAATCCGGGAGCGTTGACAACATCTTAGCTTCCGGAAATGGTTCCCGAGGAGGGAGGGGGAGGAGCCGCAAATCAAACAGCTAGCTGGCTTGAAAGTTGGCGGGGTGCTGCCCGGGCAAATCCAGATTATGTAAAGTTGGAGCGAGGCGATGACGAAGAAAGGCCACCGGCCGCTGTCGAGTAGAAAAAGAGATGCTGAGGCGGTCCGGGTTTTTTTAGCCGATGCCTGGATCTGTGAACGAGTTGGAGAAGATTTTGCTGTGTCCATGGGGTCCGTGACATGGAGCGTCGAGATGATTGCGATGCGAGCTTTTCCTGGGCCCGCAGTGAAGAAACCAAGTAATGTTTGTTCTAGAATCCCAAGAACCGCTAATAAAGAAGATTGATCACATCAACGTAAGTTTCTTCCAGGTTCTCTCTTTCTCCGTTTCGTTTCTTCTAAGCTGGGTTTTATGTTCGACTAATGCTTTTGGTTTGGATACTAAGGATCATAATCTTCTTGAGACGGTGGGCCGGCTGAAACTTTTCTTATTTTTTGCGACACCACTTGATCAAGGCAAGCATAAGTGATAGCTCGTATTTTTGCCTGACTTAGTAAAAACTATATTTAGAATGTTCAAACAAATTCTAACACTTAAAACTTTTTTTAATTCACTTATAATCAAGGTTAATGCTAGAGAGCAAAATTTCCATATGAAATCGGCTTTGTATCACTAGTTTAGATTTCTAACAATTTAGTCTTGGCAATATAAAAATTTAAGTTTTAGTATTCTGAGAGGTTCTTGAGAGAATGTTTTTATTAAACAAAAACGTGCTAAAATATAATTAATTTTTTAAATTTCATTATAAAATTAGCTATTTTTGGCAATAAATCAAATGCAGCTGGTTTTATTTTGGATTAAAATGTGAACATTACAAAACTAGTAAATAATTATTTTTATATAAAAATTATGAGGTCATTTTAAAGTAATTTCAACTTTTTTATTTCCACTTTTGTGTACCTACAATTACCCAAAGTTAACCACTGATACTAAGTTATAATCTAATGCTAAATGACAAGACAAAAAGATTTAACCTTCCTAAACTATATTACACCTTCTCTTAAAGTTCTTTACCATTTAACTACTTCAAAAACTTTATTATAATCATTGCTCTATTGTGATTTAGGGTAGGTTTTCCCTTACCCTACCATGCTTGAGCTTCTATTTGACCTATATTGATCATATGGTCTAATCTCAAATATATGATATAAAAGTTTTCTAAAAACTTTTTTGTACACTGAAAGTTCACAGACTTGATTCACTCATATATCATACTAGACTAACAAGCTCTTTGATTAGTATGAGCTATCCCATCTATGGCAGCTTGCTATTTTCCTAATCTCTTATTAATTTTATCTTTTTTAAGTGAATTTTCTTAAAGTATAAATGAAATCTATAATATAACTTATATTAAAGATTCAACCCAAACCAAACCAAAAATAAGTTTTTCTGGAGTTCTTATGTTTTTGCTTTACTATCCTCATATTGTTTCTTCATTCTTTTTAATGAATTTTGTTTCCTAAGATATTGTGTAGAATTTTTAAATTTTATCTAAATATGGTTTTTTTTATAATTAATCCATATCTAGCTTATGTTGATCTTTTTTATTTTATGTGCTATTTGAATGATCTAAGACATTATTTATTTCCATTAAAACATAAGAGAAATATTTATAATATCATTGTCAATAACATCCCAATCATAAAACTCACAAATGCAGTTATTGGGAATACTATTGGGTGCACATTTTGTCTCCACCATATGGAGTTATATGATGAATTAGATGTAGGTAATTCATTGGATGTAGTACAATTTGTATATAAAGGTTTTCCACATAACTCAGCATTTCCAATATAAGCAAAAGGGTCAAATGTCATAAATTGGCCACTAGTAGGAATTTGACCTGATAAGTTATTGAAAGAAACATTAAAAATAGCAAGTTTGGTAAGGAACTCAAATGATTTTGGAATGTTCCCTTCAAAGGAATTATAAGAGAGATCCAATTCTTCTAGATCAAATATGGAGCCAATATCATTAGGAATGCTGCCATTAAGTAAATTATTTGAGAGCCTCAAATACTTAAGGCCCTTAAGTTTTCCAATATTCTGTGGAACATTTCCTTTTAATTTGTTGCCTAACAAATCCAATAATGTAATATCTTGTAGTAAATACTTATAGCGGTAATTTCCTCTTTTAATATGAAGCACTAGTTCATATGATGAAATAGACTCATTAGAAGAAGAAATGGGATGTGTGAATGCTAAAAGGCTGTCAAAATTATTTGGAAGTAGACCTTCAAACTCATTATTATAGAGGTCAATCACTTGAAGTAAAGGGCAGTTCCATATCCAACCTGGTATATCTCCCGAAAAATTATTTCCACCCAAGTCTAAAACTCGGAGTCTAGGAGCAAAACTCCAATGGGGAACTGGGCCAGTTAGTCTATTATCTCTTACGCAAAAAACTTCCATATGAGTTGAGTTTACGCTTGGGAAGTATCCTAAACAAAAATGTTATTAGTAGAATTAGTATAAAGAACAAACAAACACCCACCTGTGAAACTGTTATTTCCTGTCACAAACCATTCCAGTTTATTGCAGTTTTCCAAGCTTTTAGGGAAGTTACCACTAAACTTGTTGTTATCAATCAAAAACTTTACTAGATTTGGCATAGTCCCAAAAATATCTGGGATTTCCCCTTGGAGGATATTGGTAGCCAAGCGGAGAACTTCCATGTGTGAGCAATTTCCCAAGCTAGAGGTAATACCACCCGAAAAATGATTATTAGAGAGGTAAAGATCAGTGAGACTGCTAAGATTGCCCAAGCTGAAGGGGATATAGCCTGAGAGTTGATTGAATGATAGGTCAAGATACTTTAGCATCTTTTGATTATCTAAGCTGGAGCGAATAGATCCAAATAGCTTATTTCCATATAAGTCAAGATGAATAAGATTTGTCATATTGCTGAAGCTGGGAAGGATATCAGTAATATTACAGTCATATAAGGAAAGCATTCTAAGTTTATGAAGTTGCAAAAGTGGTGTTGGAAACGTTCCTATAGAAACTCCACTAATGTCAAATTCCTTCAGTTCATGAAGTTGTCCAAATGAACCTGGAAGCTTTCCTGTGAGATTTGTTTGTCCAAGATATAATTTTTCCAACCCAAGGATTTGCCCAATGGAAGCTGGTATAACACCTGAGAGGTGTTTGTTAAAGCTCACATTCAACACTTTTAAATAAGTAAGCTGCCCAATATCAGGAGAAATGCTACCAAATAGATCTTGGCTGCTTAAGTCAACCTTGATAACATGTCCAATAGAATCACACTTCACTCCTGTCCAATTATAGCATACGTGCATAGAGTTCTCCTTGCTCCAGCTGCTCAATAGATGATCACCATGATGATTGTAGATCCCCTTTGAAATGGCAATCAAGGCTTTATACTCCTCAAGCAAGAGATGGTTTTGAGATGCATATGCATGAGTGCAAAAGAGCAAGAATTCCAATACTAGCCACTGCAAAAACAAAAAATAATTTCATAAAAGCATCATAAACAATCTGGTAACCACTCACCTGCTCCATGAATTTTTGTAAACTCCAGCACCTGAATGGCTGAGATGCTTTGAATCCAAGTAGTCTTTGCCCTACTCGTAAGAACGTCTTATATTTGACAGGTTCAGAAGCCGTGTCTAACGGGTTGAGAAACCGTGTTTGACAGGTTTGTTTCCCGGAACACAAGCCTTGGAATAGGACCAACGATGTCGATGTGTTGCATAACTACGCCCCATGCCAATTCAGCGTCTGCGTGTGCATGCTTCCAGCACTCCTTCAACTCCTCTAGACCATAGCCGACCGCAGAAAACCCTACAGCCTCCCGAGACCTTCATGTACTCCTTGTAGTTTTTCTTATCGGGACTTCCTATCAGCAGGGCACGAGGTAGCCGGAATCTTACCCCCATCATGGATGTAGATAGTGTTCTTGTCGCCAAAGTACTTGGACGCCACAATCCAGTCACCGAGAACCGACTGAAACTTGCCATCCCGGAAGAGGAAATACTTCCCGGGAGCCACCTTCTCATAGTAGTAGACGGTCGTGTAGCGTCTTGTCACCGCAAAGAGGAAGAGAAGCAGGAGACCTGTGAGCGATTTGCTGATGCCTGGATTCCCAATGTAAAGCTTCCGTATGTTCTTATTTTTGTCAATTTCGTCGAGGAACTTCTGGTAAAGCTCCATACACTCATGGTTGGTCCCGACCGCGGTCAGACAGCTCCGTTCGGTGATTCCGTTCGGCGAAAAAAATGGCGATTGCGCTCGCAGGGGCTAGATTTCTGATGGTGCTGCGGCTATCGCCATCGCCACTGCATCTCCACCGCTTTGCTGTTCTCCTGCTGCTATGGAGCGATCCATCCATCCACGAATGCCCAGCCCAGCAAGCCTACATCGAATCTGACCAAGAGGGCAATAGCCTATAGGAGCTGCGTGCGTACCGAGCTCTATAGGGCGACACTCTCCAGTCGGTCAGCCTCTGCTTTCGATTGAGCGTGGAGCAGCTCGCTACAGCCTCGCAAATCACCGTGATGCTTGAAATTTTTGCCCTATAATGGAAATTACGATTCCATGATTTCAGAGATTTGATTCTAGCAATTCTAGCGATTTTGGCACAATTGAGCAATGGTGCCCGATTGGGCATGGTCCCATGTTACCAAGCTCACTCCTTATGCTTCCGGCAAAAGAGTTAAGTGTTAGAAATGTAATGAAATGTAATTATTGTGGAAAAATGTATGGCAATCTCTATATTGAGCCAAGGAGTGTGCTCTTCTCCATGTGAGTGAAATTAGAGTAGTTGAAATTTAATCTAAACCAAATGACACAATTGCTTGCTTCTAGAGAACTTGAAGAAGTTAACACTAGAGTGGTGGATCATGTTGAAAGTGAAGGAATGAAGTTCTTAGAGATTGATCTTGACACAATTGCAATCGAACCACAATGGATGAAAATTGTAAAGATGCAAGCTAGATTTGAATCTCTTGGTATAAAAGATTTCGCCCAAGAAGATTTTTTAAATGAAGATGTGATTGTTGAGGAAGATGCCAGAGATATTGAGGAACTTGCTAAAGATGTTGAAAAAGATGAGTTTGGTTTGGTTTAATGCTTTGGTTTTTCTACTTTTTTTTTTATTAAAAAATAATTGTGAATTGTTCAGCCCTTCAGCATTTTCACAGTCAGTCCATAACCACGGTCAACCAATCGGCTGGTCGGCATTCAGAATGGTCAAGACTAACCTTGTATACACTCATCAGGCCACTACCAGGCA